TGACAGCGTTCCCCGCCACAGCTGATTTTTACCCGCATTTGGCGGGTTGGCGGGTGTTAATTTCAAACCCTGCTCACACATAATACAACACTTCGTACAATGCTTGTTCAATTTAAATATACGCCAAATGCTGTAGTACATCTGGTATGACATGTATGCAAAAAAAAAAAAATGAAATCCTATTAAATGTGTTGGCCCCTCTGCCTTTTTACTGGTAAATTATGATGTGATAGGACAAAAAGAGGCAATTTTAAATAACATGAGATTCAAACTCACATTGCCCACATAAGCACCTCAATGCAATGTGTCAGAATGCATGCTCAAAATACAGCACATTTGAGCTATTTTTAAACATTAAAACATTAAAAAATTACAGACCACCAATTACTCCAAATCTCATTTGGTGGTCCCATTTGACATCCATTTCACCGATCCTGTCTTGAGCTACAGATCCATAATATGGTTAGATTGCTGCTTGTTTCACTGAAATGAAGTAGACATTGTTACTTTTAGCTAAGGCGGGTGTTAATTTCAAACCCTGCTTCACACATAATACAACACTTCGTACAATGCTTGTGCAATTTAAATATACGCCAAACGCTGTAGTACATCTGGTATGACATGTATGCAAAAAAAAAAAAATGAAATCCTATTAAATGTGTTGGCCCCTCTGCCTTTTTACTGGTAAATTATGATGTGATAGGACAAAAAGAGGCAATTTTAAATAACATGAGATTCAAACTCGCATTGCCCACATAAGCACCTCAATGCAATGTGTCAGAATGCATGCTCAAAATACAGCACATTTGAGCTATTTTTAAACATTAAAACATTAAAAAATTACAGACCACCAATTACTCCAAATCTCATTTGGTGGTCCCATTTGACATCCATTTCACCGATCCTGTCTTGAGCTACAGATCCATAATATGGTTAGATTGCTGCTTGTTTCACTGAAATGAAGTAGACATTGTTACTTTTAGCTAATGAGTCTAAATGAGTGGATCATATAATTCATTGTTCAAATCTGGTTAATTCATCAATTCACTGTTGATTTTCTTTGTCAATTACAATTGTTAGGTTTAGATTTTTGGTCAACTCATGGTCCAAAGCACTTCACAGACCACAGTTTGTGAACTCGTTTGAAAGTGATTGATGAAGTGCTGCAGTGATGGATTTTGACAGGACCTCCCATCTTTACACAGGTAATCTGAAGGTCTTCTGAGGAGCTCTTCGTCACCTCTCTGACCTTCCAGATTCTTAGAATACCACATTTAGCCAGATGGTCAATTCTAGGAAGAGTCTCAGTGGTTTCAAACTTCCATCACATGTCAATGATGCATGCATCTGGGAAGCTTGAATTTTATGGCTTTTTCCAGCTAAAGGGATTGACACATTGCTATATTAGAGGTCGAAGGCGGTTCTGGTTTCTGCTGTGTGGTCGAATAATATTTCTGGAAGTAAATTTGCATATCAATAACCACTGCTTTAAGTTTCATTAAATACTTCACGTAAATACTCAAAATATGCTGCATTTCAAGACAGATTCAGTGAATTCATTCAGTGAAGGATTTGTTAAACTGATTCAAACCAGTTTTTTTTTAATTCTTCACAATAGTCATTTCATCATGAATTGAACATTATACAATAAAATAAACTTTGCTCTGGTACTGCAGATTTAACCGTTTTATTATGTTACAATTCTGTAGCATAATACAAGTTAAACTGTAATTGGATTCAACAAAATTCACCTAAAATCACACTATGAAAAAAGAACAGGTTAAAACAGTAAACCTTTAACATTCAAAGAAGTAAACAAATAAAACTTTTTATCAACTATTTTTAAGCCTATTTTTCACACAAAAAAAATTTTTTTTAATGTATTTTAAATATATATTTTTAAATGTTTTTTTCCCCGTGTTTTCCTGAAACACAGCTAAGATCATGGGTTTGATTCCCAGTAAAATTTACATTTTAAACTTGAAAATTTACACCTTCAACACAGCATACATTTATTTGAATAAAAAGGTCTGCCATAACAAAACATATGTTTTTAACTAGGTTTACCAGTATTTCTGACAACTCAAAATGTGTTTGGGTTAAACTGACCCAGAACACATATAAGGGTTAAAAACATGCTCAGTGAATTTGCCAAATAAGGATCTCAAAAATTATTAAATATATAGAGTGAATATGAATATTTAGTTAATTAATATTATAAATCCGGGGGGAAAATTACAATTTGATTGCACATATTTTCATGTAGTAGACTTATTTCACAATAACTACTGCAAGTCTAAACTGTTGAACATTTGGAGCGGTTTGGATAATGTTTGAATCCACTACGCATCTGTCCATAAACATCTCCCACCGTGCCTCGAATCAAACTAACAGCCAGACATAAACACAATGGTTATTTAAATCTGCCTGAGATTGTTTGCTTAATTAACTCTCGATATAAACATCAGGCATCTGCTGACAAATACCAATGGGTTCAGACTCAAGTCCGATGTCCTTTGTTTTGCAATCTTTCAGCAAGCAGAAGAAACCATCCGTATTGTGTTACGCTCTCTATGTACAGTAGAGCCCTGTGATCTCAGGCCCGAGGCAGTTTAGAATTATGTACATAGTCACAAGTGAATGCATGTTTGGACTGGTCAACAAAGTGTGAAAGGGCAGGGTGGCCAAATTTGGCTAAGGGGGTCACAGTTAGAGACACAGAGCTCCTCTTTGCTTACCTGAGGATCCCAGGAAGTAGCGTTCTAAAACTGACCCGAAGCCAGACGGGTTATCCCTAAGGTCACTGACTGTGAAGGGCTGCATGGAAATGTTGGCATCGTTTATCGGCCAGTTGGGTGCATGGACACTAGCACCTCCGTACCACGAAATATTCACCATGGAGAAACAGTCCTGAGAAAGAAAGAGGGTGACTATCCGCAAACTGTATTGTTGTCGTCCATCTATACCATAGGTAGATCATTTCTTGCTTGTTAAAGGACTAAATATACAGTCATTGATTTCGTTTTTTCATATAGATTGCATAACATTTTCATTAGTGTCCAAAATCTGGACATCCAGCTAAGAATTCTTTTGGCTCTCATAACACATGAAAACAGGTGCAGAATACCTATAAGTCAAAGTATTGGACTGAACAAAGAGTTCTTAGGCTTAAATCTAAAATAACACACGACAGAGCATTACTGAGGTAGGAAATGTGGGAAAGGAAGGGATTAAACTCGAAAACGTACGAACTGCATTAGGTGCTTGCTGAACAAAGAAGACCTTGTCTTATCGGAAATCTGTGAAATGTATCTTTGTGGCCTTTTTAGTCTGGTGAACTTCAAACCCTGCTTTAAAAACTTTTTTGGCAGGTACGAATGCAAAGTAAATCTGTTTTTACGAATATGACCACATAAAAATGAAGACTATTTAAAGTCAAATAAAAGCCACTAATTAAATAATGATAAGTTAAATGCAGCAAAGAGCCATTCAGATGTTAAAATATTTATCCTTCTGAAACAAGAAACCTTTAAATAATAATTTGCATATAGCCTACTTAATTAGGGCTTGAAGCCCCCAAAGGAAGCCATAACAAAAATATGAAGTAGCCTTTATATTTTATAGGGCTATGTTTCAGTTAGGATTTCAAACATTTCAGTAACCACAAAAAAAAAAAAAAAAAAAAAAAAAAGTCGAGTATTTTCATCGAGCGATAAATAAACCCTAGCGAACAAAAATCGCGTTCGCTTAGCGGTAACCACAGCGACTATAGCGATTACCTTTAGGATCCTCACTGGCAAAACAAACACGTCAACGTTGTCACTTATTGATTTGTATATTATAAATATTAGCTAATTGTGCTAGCTGCGACTATTTGGTTTCTGTGCGAGAAATGTTCACACCATACACAGTTTTGTTGGTTCTTGCTATGGTTCTTGAATAAATTTGAATAAAAGTTCTACATGGTTCTTGAAACAAATACGGTGATTTGTTATTTTAAAGAGAGAACACTTTATTTTTGTGGAACTTCTTCAGTGACCTCAGGCTATAAAACATGTATTCTTCTATTTGGAACATATTTTCTAAAGTGTTTAAAACAAGTTCTAATGACATTTTACCTTCAGGTCCACATGACAGTGAATTGGAGTCCAGGTTACACTGTAACACTCGGTATCAGAGTCCTCCTCTGATGATTCCAAAGATATCTTCACCTCTGCGACCGAATCCCAAGTGTAGCAGAACTCGGTTTTGTTAAGCCAGCACATGTTCCTCACGAACGGAACCTCAATATCGGCGTTCCCCACGTTCTCCACGTCTATCTCCGCAAAAGTCTTGTCCTCAGTCAGTGTCTGTATGACAAGAGTTTGCGTCCGTCTCTCCCAAATAAGCCCACTAAAGCTCCCCTTCAGGATCCAGTTCTTGTTGGGCTGATCCACAACTTGCCAATAAATGATCCCAATTGTCATGACAAAAAAGACAGCAACTCCCAAGCAAGCAATAGCCCCCTTCCAGGTCTCGTTCATCTCTTTCAACCCCGTGTCCCATGTCACCTCTGGGATTGGACTTGGGTTCCTGTTGCGAGTGTGTGGCATTATGATTTCACAAAGAAGACGACGAAAAAGATCTAATCAAAAGTGATGATAAAACGTAACAATCTCTCTGCTAAAACATGCAGAATTGTCTTCATGTCGCGCTCCTTCACGCTTTGGATTGTCCGAACGTGAAGTTTTGAATTGGATCTAATTGCGTTGTTGCGCGCACCGGCCGCCGGTCATCAACGGATCCAGGTCAAGTTCTCCAAACACAATCATTCCAGAATAAATCGAAAAAATAATGCATGCTGCTTCCAGTGCTATAGCAGGTTTAAAGCATTGATCGCAGAAGAGTGAGCAGCCTTACCCGGGTTTGGCAGCAATGCCTACAAATAGCTCCACAGCGGCTTATTTGCTTGGCCTGCGCTCTTGCGCGTTGCTGTGACGTAACTCCATACTGCTTCTTCAGAAAGGTACGAGAGAAAGTGATTAGGCGAGCTTTGCGATTACCGGGGCCCCCAGTCAGGAGCCGGACAGGGCGCAGTGTACGGTGAATCACTCATTCTCACTGAGTGCAGGACAGAGCGAACGACTAGCATACATGCATCAACCCTGCGCACAATAATGTTTCAGCGTCCTGTAGCTGTTTAAGCAGGTGCGGGAACTCTTCACTCTTAAAAAATAAATGTTCTTTATTGGCATCAATGGTTCTATAAAGAACCTGAACATGGAACCTTTCAAATGCAGAAAAGGTTTTTATAGTAGAAAAAGGTTCTTTAGATTTTTTTTTTTTAAATGTTCTTCAAAATGGTTCTTTTAGGAACTGTTCACTGAAAGGTTCTTTGGGGAACCAAATATGGTTCTTCGATGGCATCACTGCAAAAAAACCTTTTGTAACCTTTAGTTTTTAAGAGTGTTATTCGCAAACTACATTTTGAGCTACTTTTGATCTAATATTCCAAGCTGAAATTTCTGTTTAACGTGCAAAGTTGCATATTACACTTGCACTAGCTATCTAAATAATGACGCCTCATACTTGTGCATTGCGTCGTTTGTGTATTGTACAATTGTATTCCTAAACTGTATTGTACTATACCACGTATATTATATTGTGTGTGTTTATTGTATTATGTGCGTCTTTGTTTGGGTCAATGACATATAAAATGTCCGGGGTGATAGGGGAAAAAATATTTTAGTTTTATATTCTTTGTGTTTAATTCAAAAACATTTATGCCGTTCTTGACAATTTAAAAAAAAATTACATAATGAAAACTTTTTTTTTTTTTTTTTTTAAATACAAATATAAAGATTTATAATTAAATACAAATCATTGCATTTAAGAAAAAAATATTTTATGGACTCCTCTCTATTTTTATTTATTTATTTTTGTCTTGCCACATGTTTCACCCCATAGCTTTGGTGGACAACTGTTTTTCAAATACAAACAGACAAAACTGCTTTTCTGAATATTTTATAAAGAAATATTAATAACATATTACACACTTACTGGCATAGTAACTGTACACCAACATTTTTACAATTTCTATAATCAAAATGTATTTTTATTAAAAAATGTAAACTGATGTATTTAAACTGTGTGTTTAATCTAAGCGTCTATATGAACACCATTTTTAATGTCATTTTGAACAGTTGAATAGATCCAAATAAAATGAGAGTTACTGTATACCCCATTTATACCGTGTATGTATTTCTTGGTAGATTACTTAAAACATTTTAGTCTATTACTGATTACAGATTACATTATGAAAATTGTAGATAATATAGGTTATTCATTTTAGGTAATGTATTATGACTACCATTTAGTAGATTACTTTTGACCTAACTTGTTTTAAAGTTTCAAGTAAATATTTTAGGGGTTTGGCTGAC